CTTTATTGTCACTGCCTCTGTCCACTTAGTCTTATCATCGGCAAGAACGAATACAGTGTCCTCCCACAGGACCGGCAAAATTTATCTGTAGGCGGTACCAACATGCGTTGGTCTTCGATCAGTTTACTGCAACTTGCGCTGGGGTCATGGGCAAACGCTGCACACACTGAGGACACCGTTTTGCAAGTCAATATCACTGTCTAGCCCTAGGTACCTGAAAATCAAGCGCACGAGGTTTTTTATTGTTGTGATGCCAGCATGCGTGTCATGCAGCTCTTTCGAAACAAAATTTCAAGCAGCTTTTAAGAAGAATCACATGGTGACCCCAATACAGTATCCCCTTACTCGAGGTCAATTCCTACCTTCATGTGAAATAGGGTTGATACTGTTGTTTGTCTGCCCCCAGACGCTTGGGGCAGCCTTGCAGGATCCAAGTCTTTACTTGCTGAAGGGTGCAATCTTTGCTGGTGTGATCAGACACATTCTGCGCAGACAAAACAAAGTCATCCAGAGCCTGCGCATGCAGGACATGATCAGCAAGTTCCTTTTCGCTGCCGTTATCACGGACAGTCAAAGCAAGCGGCTCAGAGCGTCGACATTCGCATTCAGCTCCCCTTTTCTGTATTCCAAATCATACTGATAACCTGCTAAGAACGGCGCCCAACGTTGAATTCGCGCCACTGCCATTTGCAAGATGACTTTATCCGGACTCGGCAAGCCAGTCAAATGCTTGTGATCGGTCACCAGAATGAACTTATTGCCAAACAAATAATCTCGGAATTTGACAATGCCAAAAACGAGCACTAGTGCCTCCTTTTCTAATTGTGAATAGCTACGCTCTGCCGACGTAAGAGTTCCGTAGCGGAAAGCTATAGGATGATTCACCCCTTTAATGCACTGAGACAATACTGTGCCTATTTTTTCCGCCGGCGCATCACACTCAAGCCGCAGGAGTTTCAGAGGATCATAATGTACAAAAAAGTTTGTGTTGCTCATGGCGTGTTTGGTTTCTTGGAATGCTGTTACCTGTGTGTCCCCCAACACCAGGGTACTGCTTTTCATAACAGACGGTGTAATGGAACCAAAGTGAATGACAAATTCGGTAGAGACTTCGACTAATCATTAGTCCCATGAATGATTTAGGCTGGCAAGCCAAGGCCAGTGGCGCCAGCGCCAGCAGGGTTTCTAAGTTGTCCTGCAGGGGGTGAAGGCCTCTCGCATCGATTCAATGCCTAAGAAATACCACTTCTTTTCCCCGGAACCGACACTTCTCTTCGTTCAGCGTGAGGCCTTCACTCGCAGTCGTTCCAACACTTGGCGTAGTAGCATGATACTGTGCACTTTTTCCACTACAATAATGTCGTCCAGGCAAACTTTCACCCCGGCTAGTCGCTGTAGTAACGCTTCTATGCTCCACTGACACTGAAACAGTGCAGGTGCTGAGGCAATACCAAAAGCAAAGGCTTTGTGTGTATTCAACACAGCTATCTTCTTGGCATCATCATCCAGGGGAAGTTGGTTGTATGCATTTCGTAAGTCGAGCATGCTAAACTCCTCGCTTCTCGTTAGCGTCACAAAGGTGTCTTCAATTTTCGGAAGCGGGTACTGTTCTGTTCTTGTCGCTGGATTGACCGTCAGCTTAAAATCTTCACACAGCTGGATGTCTCTGTTCTTCTTTACCACCGGCACTACAGGCCTTACCCATTCAGCCACGCTCACTGGAGACAGCACTCCCACTTCCACCAATCGTTCTATTTTGGAATATACTTGCACACTCTGGCGTGCAGAACTGTCCGAACCTTCAGAAATCAAGGTTGAGCACCTCCCTTGAGGTATAGTTTCACCAGTGGCCCCTTACAACATCCGAGGTTCTTAAAGCAGTATGAAAATTCGTCAAGAAGTGCAGTAAGCTTACTGTCGACATGCATAACATTCACCCCAGACAACATACCTCTCTCCAGAAGGAAGACGCCTGCTTTGTCAAATTCCTCTATCGTGTCTCTTCCGCACAGCAGAGGCCTCTGATGGTCCATCACTATCAGCGAACTACTTACCGTTACTGGACCAAGCTGTACCTTTATATCCACCTTGCCCCATACCAATAATGGTCCCAGGAAATATGAAAGGCGCATGGGGGTTTTCTGTAAGGCTGGCCACAACTTGCTGGGTTTCTTGTACACATTTTTGGGAATTACACTTTCTGGTGATCCCACATTGACAATCATTCGCAGCCGACGGTTTTCCCACATTGAGGTGTACTGGCTGCACTAAGCGCTTATTGGCCTAACTGTGTGCGACTAGAGCATACAAATTCTCTTCTTCATCTTTGCATTCTGTTCCGTCGACGGCGAACGTTCCCGACGTTAGGGCATGCAAGTCCTAGCAAGATGCCCTCTGTTGCCACATTGATGGCAGATGGAACTGCGATGCCGACACGACACCCTTCTATGCAGCCATTTGCATCTGTTGCTTGAGAGACTGAGACCTCGCGGTAGGTCGTTTCTCCTGTACTTCCTTCCTTGCTGCTGTTTCTGTACAATGTTGACGCCGCCTGCTGTTAGTGCGTGTGGAGCTTGCATGCCACGAGCGTCTTCGTTCACTTTTTCAGAAGCTAAGGCACATTCTTAGGCTTCTTCACAAGTCAACTTCTTGCAGTCCAGCAAGCACCAGAGTGCTACATCGTCCCGAATCCCGCAAACGATCCGGTCCCGCAACATACAGTCTAGTGTTGTTCCGAAATTACAATTTATGGCTAGTCTTCTCAACTCAGCAATGTAGTCCCAGATGCTTTCTTGCTCTTCTTGCCTTCGTGTGAAGAAGGTATAGCTGGAAGCTATTTCGTTTGAGGGTTGAAATGGTCCTCCAGGCATTTTACAACGTGATCATACGTCAAAGAGTTGATGAAGACCCCCTGGTGGTGTCCTTGCAAAATCCAGACGACACTGTCTCTCAATGATGCAACCAGTAGGGCTCGGCGTTTAGCTGTGTCGATAATCTCGTTGCCCTCAAAGTAGGCTTTCAAGCATACACGATACGTGCTCCAGCTACTCACAGCATTTTTGAATGCTATGGGTTGAAACTCTATTACTCTGGTGTCAGAATCGAAGTGCGATCGACGGTCCCATCATCGCCGCTACTGTAGTATCGTAGGTAAGTGCAAGGAACTTCTTGGCGAGAGGAAGAACTGAATGTTTATTCAAGAGGCTGCTTTTATACTCTGACCAGGAAACCGGAGCATGCGCCGTGACAAGGGGAAAAGGCACGTGTTGTCGGCATGCTTCTCACGTCTGCATCTATGATCAGCAATATATTAGTAGAGCATGGAACGCATTTCTTGAAGGTCGCAGGTTCGGTCCCAGCCGGTGGCAAGTTATCTTTTCGTCCACTTTTCTTGACAGGATTGCCTTTCAGTTCTCATAAATATTTTGTCTAACAAAAACAAACGAGCCCTCAAATTTACTCGTTCTTGCTTAGTACAATATAGCTAAATACTACAAGCAATGTCAACTACATTTTCCGTCTTTGTCTGCTGGTGGTCATTGTTATATGCAAAGGCATGCTAATCCTACAGATATATCTTTACTTAGGGTGCCCCCACGTTATGAAAGAGAAGGAATGGCAGATCTCTGTCATAAAAGCCAGTTGAAAGTGAAACGTGCCTTGACAGAGGTAGTTGAGTGTCTATTGTGCATTGTTTCGACACAAGGGAGAAGGAATGAGGGCTATAGCAACAAGTTGCAATTTCACACGAAGAATGGCAAGTGGCTCGTAACTTGCAGTGTGCTCCTCAAGCAGAAAAGGCTCAAGAAAGAAATATACACATAGGACGAGCTTGACGTAACAACTGGCACAGTTCGGCACGTAAAGCTCGCTGCTCAAGCACAAATGACCCACAAAACAAGTGCACAAGTATACACAGGACGAGTGCAAACTATCCGCCACAGTTTTTTCTTTATGCGTGAGCAGCATGCTCCATTCGCAAATGCTGCCGCTGCAGAGAGCAATGTGACCTTCGTGCTCCCTGTCAAACGCAAGCTTGCCATGGAAGCACAAGACGTGTAAATCGTCCCCAACATGAAATAGTAAGCGCACGCACGAGCAGCCACCTCGCTCGCAACGTGCAGGGTGACCCTCAAAGTGCGCCTTTCGCGCCATCTCGATAGTGATAACGACAACACGCTTTTGTGCCAGCGAGCTCTGAATACGGCCAACAGTAACATGCATATGCAAATAGCTCCCCGTTTGTATGTTGAAAAACGTGCGCTCTGCGGCCGAGTAGTTTCACGTTGCAGAGCGAGGTGTCGTAGGTTCCCAACGATGGAACATTTTTTTCTAGCTTTTTCTTCAACATCTGATAAGCATATTTATAACATCATATCCATTCAGAAATACGTCAAGGAGCCATGGTGAGCTGCGGCATAAAACACTTTCATGTTAGAGCATTTCTGTGCTGAGCATCCTGAAAGTGTTTGCAGCAAAAGCGTGGAAGTGCTAAAGGAAAGGTGTAACAGGGAGGAACGGAGAGCAAGGAGGTGTGATGCACGCTGGTGTCATCCCTCTTTGCTTTACACCTTTCCTTTAGCACTTCTGTTCATGTGCTGCAAATCTTTTCACAATGCTCTTCAAACTAGAGAAGACATTGCAACAGAAGGCGACGAAAGCTCTGTTGAAATTCCTACGCTAGACGGACTTGAACAAGCGACTGTAACAGCAATGTCACACACCACGAAAGACAAGACTGGACTATGACTGAGTGTGCGCGCGTGTGCTGCCGAATGTGCTGTGTTTCTCTCTTCCCTCTCTGCTCTCTATCTTTCATCTCCCCCATCCCTCTCCCATATGCAGGGTAGCAAACTGGCTGCCTATAGGCTGGTTAACCTCCCTGCCATTCTTTTTTCTCTATTTTCCTTACTTCCTTTCTTCAAACTAGCCCAAATGGCCATCCTACTTGTTCTAGTGCTACCTCGTGTAAGCATAATCTTTATGTTGCCTTATTACAGGTCACAGCCAGCGGCACCGCCAGCAGGGGTGGCAATACAAGGCCGCCCTCGGCCTCAGCCGATCTCGGGAACCCCTCCACCGGAAATGGAACGATGTGACGCCAAGACCATCCAGCAGACTTGCTCCCTCTTTGGTCTAGATTTGGTACGCCCTCTACTGTATCTTCTGTACGAATAGAGCTTGCTTGTAGACTACATTCGCGTTGACTACATTACAAGTTGAAGACACTAAACAAAGGTGTGATATTGCGTAAGTTGTAAGCATAGAATGAGCAAGTATAAATAAATCACTTACCAGATATAATGTTTGAAATTGTGTTTGTTGTTTTCATGTAAGTTGTGCAGCTACAGTAGCGAGACTTGTCGACTTTTATTGTTTTGTTATTGTTTTTTGTCATGAACTTAACTAAGTTACAGTGAACACTAACCATCATTTTCCAGCATATATATCCCATAAAGCTTTGGGTACATTTTCGTGGCTCCTCTGTAGCATTGTGGTACAACGGGAAAACAGGTGACATTGTGGCACTTTCATTGAAGTTGCATGCTGTTGTGCAACTACACAGAGTTGTACTTTTATTCTATTTTGTTGCATTTTAATTATTTGTTTGCTTATTTGTTATAGTGCACATCCAAGACCCCCAGGGTAGTAGAGAGGGTGTAATGAGAGTACTAAATGCAAGCAACAAGGGTCCTCAAATGGAAATGCATTAGGTTGCACCTATACCAGAAGATTTGAACAAAGCTACATCCTCAGTGGCAGCAACATAAGAAAGAGGGTGATTCCACGTTCCGCTCGCTTTCTGAACATACAATAGACTATAGCAAAGCAGGCAGTCACTTTGCCAGGGTGGTTTAGATGTGCTAAAAACTGAGTAGGCTCTGAGAGTAATAGCCATCTATTGTGAAATTCAATATGATGAAAGAGTGCAATACCAGAATTTTTTTAAATTACCAGGTCTGGGAGCTTAAGAATTTACTTCATCAAGCAAACATTAGAGCAAGTTCGTCAAAAATGTGAAAATTCAAAGGGAAACTGCCACTGCAGTTCGCAGTGGGCAATTTTAGAAGGGCAGATATTACAAGGATTGCTGCAGCATATGGCCATCATCAGTTCTGTATTATAGCCCCGAAAATGAACACTGGTGAAATGGCAGCTGCGATGATGTGTCGTCACGGCAAGGACTCGTTTGCTCCGCGTTCGAAGATCGCATATTTTTTGCACTCGCTGTGTGCCCTCTTTTTCTCATTACTGCTCATTCTTGCGATGCAAATCTACCAGGGATGTTATGGCCCAAATCAAAGCGATCTGGAGAAAGTTTTGAGCTTCTCGTCGTAATGAACCGCGAAAATGAAAGGTATTCGTTGCTTCCACCGCTTACTTCAAGGAGTCGATGCTAAAGACATTTGCGTTTTAACTTCAATACAACTTGGTTTACCGTCCAAGTTTAGACCTATTATCAATAAAATTACGTTTGCAATTCACTCACTACATCTGCAGATTATTGAGATGATTTGACAAAGTTGCGCTTTCTGCTACAAGAGACATTATATAAATCTGCTACAGGAGACATTAAAAGATAGAAAGTGCTTAATATATTCAGAATATTAAACAAAATGATACTGCCACGCACAAAACGTCTAAGAAAATGCCCCGATGTTAGTATACTAGGACCGCGTAAAGATTTCCTTAAAACGTTTTTTTTTTTAAAGTTGTGTACTTATGTACTCTGATGTCCCTTAGCTGCAGGATTGCTGCATCATAAACAGAAAAGTTTAATTCATGCGGAAGCACTACTGATCGCAATAGTTTGCAAAACAAAAGCCTGAAGGTACACATCAGCTTTCTGAATGGTGTGGTCTTGCACATCATGTCTACATGCAGGTTATTGAAGCTCGGGGGTAATCAAATGCTCGGAAAATTACTTTACGAGCACGGTGTCTAAATTATGAGTGTAACCGCACCATTGCTACGATGCTGCGTGAAGTTTACAGTTGATTTTGTATTGAGATGACAACCCAAAGTGATTGCGAGGAAAGCGTTAAATGCAACTATGTACATGATGGATTAGTGAGTACAAAAGAAAAAAAAAGGCAACAGCTGCAGTGTTGTTCGTTGACAAGAACTTTCAGGATGCTTAGCGAGCATCGATATTTCACGGGTTTTCGCAACTCGGTTGGCACATCGGCCAGAAAACTGTCCGCATATACCTTCATGGATCTGTTGCATATAACACTTGTGGAGGTGAAAACATCTTATCTCCCAAAGGAAATGTCCGTGAACAGTGCAATCAATCAATGTAGGTATGGTTTCCTACGCGTCAAAACCGCGACTTGATTACGGGGCACATCATAGAATAACTTTGACTGCCTGGCATTTCTGAACGTGCTGCTGTATGTAAGCACAAACATATTCTTACTTCTGTCATAATGTGGTTGTCGTGGCCAACAATTGAACCTATCCTCGAGTTTAGCTGTGGGACACAACCTGATCAAAGTGTATACGATGAAGCCTGGGAATCATTGGCAATTGTACTGGACAAATTTTTTTGACGTTTTAATACAAGCATTAATGAGGCTGTTTTCATCATTTATCTAAAGCTTGAGAAAAGAGAGAAGCGACAGCAAACAGTGAAACACTGAACGAAGCGAGCACATGTCATGTAGGTCACCACGGCGGGCATCGAAGAATGTTTGCTGTGACGTCACCTTGACCTACCGCCAGGTGACGCCGACCCATCTTCTTGAGGCTAATAAATTTCTTCCTCTTGTCCAATAAACCTATTTCTTGAAAGTTACCGCAAGTCGCTCTTCTTTTTTCATTGGTATACTTAACATACAATTTTACAAATGTTCCAAGACAATGCAAGCTATGTCTTCTTTCTCTTTAGGAGAGACCACCTCCTGTGCCACCCAGCCGTCCATATACCGTGAGTGGCAACACGAAGCTGGGCTACCCCCAGACCCGAGTGATGAAGATGAACTACCCTGGTGAGTGCTTCACTACAGTACGCTGAAGAGCATGTGCTGGTTCTTTGACAATGTTAAACTAGGCAAGACGTCGATAACCATTCATGGCCAAGGACACTTCAAGGACACTTCAGTTCCGCCTTCAAGAGTGCAACGTATTCGGCCTTCATGCGCAAGGCCTTCGCAGTTGCTGCTTCAGTTCTCGAGGCATCACTCTACCATCTCGCAAGGAAAGGAAAGCTTCTTGTAAAACATTGGCAGTCTCAAATTATCCCAGAATGCCTACTGCAAGTACAGTTGGGCTGTGGCCAATTCGCCATGGTTTTTTCCCGAATCAGCGAAGGGCCCACTACGCGTCCGTAAGGTCATGCCGCTAATGATCATTAAATAAGTCAGAACGCATTGCAGTGAATTGGCATAATTTTAAAACACGCACTCGTGCAATTCGCATGTTTTGGCACTTGGCACGATTCCACACTTGTGCCATGCAGTATTACATACATTAAGGAGACTCCTCCCACTGGATAAGTGTTTTTACAGCGAAAGCTACGTATAGGTAGGCGAAGCGAAAACCATTTCTGACGAGAAACGATAACCGTCTCCACTGACTGCGCTGTCTGTAAAGTCGTTGGCTACCTCGCACCCAAGCACACGCCATTGACAGCGACGTTACTAACGTTGTTAGTGACGTCATTCTCTGCGTCATTCACAAGCGCACGTGCTATTGGCTCCGCCATCAGTGAAGTCGTTCATGCTGCCGCAGCCATGTCGCTAAGCCATGCGCAGAAGTTTCAACTTACAACTTGCACATGAGGAGGGCGGGAATCCTAAAAACACCTGAAGAGCAGAAACTTTCTCAAGAACAGTGCCGACATCCGATCCGTGAGAAAATTCATGTTCACTGGGTCAGTGCAGCAGTCTGGGCTCAGGGACAAGTCTGGGTGGGGAAGCGCAAACGTAAACTGTGCACCGAGGATGGGGCAGTCTTCTGAGCCTAATGTAGCAACAATGGCAAGCCAAAGAAGTGGCATTGCAGGCAGAGCAGCATCAACAGGGCAATAGCGGGTGCCCCACTTTTCGCAGGAGTTTCTCGAATAACACTTTGGCTTCGCCTATGTTGTCTGCAACCACCTTCGGTCTAATGTTTCATCTTCGACGGTTAACCATCTGTATGGAGTGCTTGGACGGTTTTAGTTTTTTCCTTTATGATTGAAGTGCATTGTGTTTCTCTAATTTGAATCCAGAATTGTGACATCTTCATGACGTCAAAATGACGTTTAAGAGGGAGAACTGGAAAGAGAGGGTGAGCTGTCAATCAGTAGCGGCTGAGATAGCCTATTAAATGGACACTTTGAGAAGAGCTTTCCCCTTTAAGTGATGCATTTTATGCTTGTTATGCCCGTATTGTGCACGTATAAAAGAGAATCGACAGCTCGCCGTAACTATTGCGCGGTGGGGACATAGTTACTCTCTGAACTTCAGTGGCGTCTCAGCGCGAAACTCTAGCTCAGGAGTGCTTAATGTTGCCCTTTGGCAACAATTTCGTCACTGTGTCTAGAAGGAAGATTGGTCGGTCATTGGAAAACAACTTGGCAATTGTTTCTCCAAATGGGGAATCTGCGCGGCGCAAAGCACTGCAGTATTCAGGAAATGTGATTGCCGTCGTGTACATTACGAATTAGCATGCTTACTTCAGGGGCACAACATATGCCAGGCTATACGTAGCGTGAGCTAAAGTTCAGCTGGTTATCTTAAGTTTTCCTGGTTGTCTATGATTAGGTTACCATGCTTACTGCTGGATGGATGGACAGACAGGCAGATAGACGTGAATGAACAGACAGATTAATGGACGAACAGACAGATGGACGGGCGGATAGACACAGACAGACGAATCGATGGAAGGATGGACTAGCGAGCGAGCTCATGCGAGTGAAGCGGCAGTCCTCTAGTAACACGTCACTTAAGAAGCTTCTAGACTTTCTCAGGCGTACTAGCTGTGTGCCGTGTGACGTTTCTTCTCCTCACGCATGCGCAATACTGCTCTGCATAAGCCGTGCGAAACTGCTCAACCTCGGCCAGTGTAGCTTACGCTAAAAAAAAAAAAGTCAGAGCTCTTTTACTGGCCCTTTAATCAAAGTTATAGAAATTATAACCATGCTGTCTAGGACCTTGCGAATCCGCCACAGGCTCCACTGTTAGTCCAGCCTCGCACTACTAGGACAAGGCGTCCAGATTTTGTGAGTACTTTCTCTCCCGTCGTAGTGCGCCTGCGGCAGACAAGAAGACCTGTCTCCTTCAATTCCTCACTTGTATGCGTGTTTGCATGCCTACCATCTTTTACCCCCCTCTGTATCAGACCGAACTATCTGCTATCAGCAATCGCCCTAGACGATATTGTCTCCTCCTCCTCTCTACCGTTTTGTGCGCTTTACTTTCCTTCCTTTGCTTTCTTTCCCCCTTCCCCCCTGTGAGCGCGGCTACTTAAGCCCAGCAAATAAACGGCCAGGGGTCTTTCGTCATGGCGAGGCTCAGCCAAGTGTTCATCGTCGTCTTGTTTCTGAGTTAAACGTTACATGGTGTCAGAAGTGGTCCTGACGTTCGAAATGGACCTCGTCAAGCCCCCGGAACCGCTGCAATTGTCCGGCAACATCAGGAAAAACTGGCTGGTATTCAAGCAGAAGCTGCAGCTGTTCATCACCGCTACGGAACCGGAGAAGCCCCGCCCATCGGCCGTAAAAGCAGCGATTCTTCTGAACACCGCGGGGGACGAGGCACTCGATGTCTACAACAACTTCTCGTTTGCCGCAGGTGAGAGCAGAGAAGATTATGACATGTTAGTGCGCAAGTTTGAAGAATATTGTGTTGACCAGGGTAATGATGTCTACGAAAGGCACATTTTTCGACTGCGAACACAGGAAGAGGCCGAGCCTTTTGAGCGGTTCCTACGGGACTTAAAAAAGCAAGCAAAGCTGTGCAACTTCGGTACGCTTGAAGAGTCCATGATCAGGGATCAAGTGGTGTTTGGGACAAATAATGCGAAACTTCGAGAAAAGTTGCTGAGTGACAAAGACTTAAACTTGCAGAAAGCAGAAGAAATTTGCAAAGCCGCTGAGCTTGCTGCCATTCAGAGCGCAGCATGGTCAAATGAAAGCCTGCACGTTGACTTTACACGCCGCACACACCGCACGAAGTTTGCGAATGAAACTCAATGTCGAAATTGTAACAAAATACATGCCCCCGAGCGGTGCCCGGCGTATGGAAAAACTTGTTATACATGCAAAAAACGAAATCACTTCGCCGCATGCTGCAACAATGCGCACAAGATAAGCGAGGTTCACAAAGCCGAAGAAAGCGATGAAAATTTTGACATCTTGGGCATCAGCATTTGCGGCGTCACCGGAGACATAGGAGCGGATTGGATGGTTCGCGGAAAAATAGCCGGTGAGGAGATACAATTCAAGGTAGATACCGGGTCTCAGGCGAATTTGCTGCCCCTAACCCTTTTCAACCGAATCGCCCACGCAAGCACTCGGCGAAAGAGCGCCGCTGTCCTCACCGCATACAACGGCAGTGCAATGGAACACGTTGGCGTGGCGACCAAGACCTCGAGATAAGCGGAGCACAGCATTCAGTCTCATTCTTTATCGTGAAAAGGGGGCGCCAAGCCATCCTTGGCTTAAAGACATGCCAGCAGTTTGGTCTTGTACCGGTGATGGTGGACGCCGTGAAGGTAGGCGATGGGCAAACGAAATTCCAGCTTGCATTTCCTGACCTCTTCAGCGGCACCGGCTGCGTCAGGCGACCCTACAAAATGGTGCTACGAGAGGATGCCGTTCCAGTCGTGCAGCCTGCCCGCAGAGTACCTATAGCGTTGAAAGGATGCCTGCGACAAGAACTGCAACTAATGGAAAAGTAAGTAAAACTTCTTTTGGGCCTAGTTGGTTCATAGCCATAGAATATACTTTTACAGCGCAAACATAAAACGATCCACAAAGAAAGCGACGACACACACACAGCGCTGGTGTGTGTCGTCGCTTTCTTTGTGGATCGTTTTATGTTTGCGCTGTAAAAGTATATTCTAATGGAAAAGGCCTCAATCATCGTCAAGGTGGATGAACCAACTGACTGGGTGAGCCCCCTGGTAGTTGTGCACAAGAAGGATGGTACCCTTCGCATTTGCATGGACCCTAGAGCAGTGAACAGGAGCATTAAGCGGGAGCGCTATCCTATGCCTTCACGAGAGGACATAAAAAGTGAGCTGGCAGGCGCACAATACTTCTCCCGGCTCGACCCTAATGCCGGCTTTCATCAGATTCCTTTAGATGAGGCCACTTCACGAGTATGCACTTTTGCGACATCATTTGGGCGGTACCGTTTTTTGCGTCTGCCTTTCGGAATTTCCTCAGCCAGCAAGGTGTTCCAGAAGACTCTAACAGAGATTTTCAAAGGGCTGCCGGGAGTGGGCGTCTACGTAGACGACGTTTTAATATGGGGCGACTCAAGGGAAGAACATGATGAACGCGTCGTTGCAGTGCTAAGGCGGGCGCAAGAGGAAGGGCTGACATTTAATCCAGCTAAATGCGTGTTCTGCACCACGCAGGTTGCATTCCTTGGCGATGTAATCAGTAGAGACGGAATTTGTCCTAGTCCCGATTTAATCGAAAGCGTCCGTGCCATGCCAGCCCCAAAAGATAAACAGGGTGTGCGCAGATTACTCGGGGCTGTGAACTACTTTCGGAGATACCTGCCAGCTTTGAGTGATAAAACGGCGTTGCTGCGTAGCCTGGTGAAAGAAGCATCGGTGTTTGAATGGACAACAGCCCATGAGCGCGAATGGGACCAGATCTGCGCAGCGCTCGCTAAGCCTCCGTTGCTGGCTCTTTTTGATGAAAAAAAGAAACACTAAGATAACTGCGGACGCCTCAGGAACAGGTATCGGCGCTGGCTTATTGCAAAGACACGGGGATGACTGGCGCCCAGTGACCTACGCCTCAAGAGCACTGACGCCGAGTGAAAGGAAA